ATGCCATAACGTTAAGCAACAGGCATGGAATCTAGCGCCTGGAGGGTGATGTAGAATCCAATATGCTTGCTGCCTCCTACCCGCAATCACGTGCTAAAGTTGTATTCTCCAAAGGAATCTTGACCGGTTTCCCAACTGTGTTTCGTAGACCAGCCAGACAAGTTTTCACCAACTCTCCCCCCTTCTCATGAAGAGGCCTATTCAGTGTGGCTGTTCTCGTCCATCCTCCCTGCCTGCTCTTCCTCGCTGTGGTGTCGGCAGTAGGGGTTTGGATGGTTTTCGCATCTAAATGGCATAATTTGGGGTGGGAAATATGGTCTCAACCACAGAATTGTGGGTGCAGGCATTTTTCTTTCATTTCGTCTCCTCCTATCAAGTTCTACTTTTCCATTTGGTTGTAATTCTCACCAAACTGTGGATCTGAGAACATGAGCCAAGAAAAATACCAGAGATGGTGAGAGGAGAGAAGTTTTGGGACAGGAGTTATCTCTGCCCAAGGACTCGGTGGTGTGATTGCTGCATTGTTTTTACCTGCAAGGGGCTGCATTTAGGCGGCAAGCCCCCTGTTACAAGGAATTTATGTGGCAACCTTCTTAGATTTTTACTTGCCACTCGTATTTGTCTTCTGTAGTTCTCAGTTTCCTTTCCTGCATCTGTGAGTGTGTTAACATATGTTGCTAACTCTTTACCTTCTGGATGATAGCCTTTATTGCTAAGCATTAGACTCTCACATGGGGAGACAGGTACTGTCTGATGTCAAGCAAAAACTTTCCCATGACTGGTAATGACCTTGCTCTTTATCATGTCGTTCAGCAAGTGCCCCTCTTTTCTGCTGCGGGGACTGAGTTCATTCTCATGTTAGACTTTGTTTGTTCGGTTCATTCAAAATAGTGTGTGTCTACGATGTACCAGGCACAGTTCTATGAGCTGGGGCTACTGCAGTGAGTAATCAGACAAGAATCCCTTGAGACTTCTACATCCTAATGGGATGTGGGAGGAGGTAATATACAAAATAAATGCATTACATCATTGTGTTAGAAAGTGAAGTATGGAGGAAAACAGCAAGGATGGGGGTAAGTAAGTCCTAGGGGTTGGGGGCAAGTTTCAATTTTAAATGATGGTCAGTTAGAGAAAGGTCCTGAGCAGTGCTGGACAGGGGGAGTGAGGCCCTCTGCAAGCAGAGGTGCTCTCGGTTTGCCCCGGATGAGGAGCCTTGGACGGTGTCCCCACACAGAAGCTCTCGCAGCCTGTGGAAGTCCGCATCGTATCCGTACTGGATACTTCTGCCATTTCAAACTGGCTCTTCCTGCCTTCCCTCCTCTGCCATTTCCTTTCATCAGTGTGTCTGGGGCTTGTCTCTGTATCCAAAGCATCTGAGATCCTTCAGAGACAAAGCCCACCCCAGGCGTGTTTTCATGTGCGTGTCTTCAGAAATTGGTTTTGCTGATCTCCCGCAGAACCGTTCTGTGTTCTCATCTCCTTCCTGGTCGTTCACTCGTTTCTGCTGCGTATGTGAGTAAAGAAGGACCTTGGACACTTCAGAAACCAAGATGGGGAAAGATGTCAGCTGAGAATCTAGATAAGAATGTGCTGCTTTTCTAATCAGGGCTATCTGAAACTGTGGTCATGCCCAAACACTTTGATTAACGGCTGTCATATGTTCCGTGTGTTTTCCTCCAGGCGTTTTCAGACTGATGGGAGGCTTCCCACGGTGCGGACTGGTACATTCTGGCTTCCAGTTTTCTGAGCACATTACGCCTTTAGGAGCAGTCAAACTGCCTTCCTCTTGTGGGTATCCATCATATTCAGGCGGTGGTTGTTCCTGGCAAAACCTCTGTTTGGGGGGTTTGGAAACGTTTTGTGCTGATCCTGGGAGCCCTAAAAACCCAGATGCCTTCAACAGGTCACTCGTGCCAGATCCATAGCACCGCTGTGATTTTAAATTAGTGTGAACGCGCACAAAGATTCTCACCCCTACAATAATGATAATGAAAGTAGAATAAAATGTTTCTATTTCGGCTTTAGAGAATAAAAACGCTGGCTCAGGAAATTTCATTTAGTTAACATTATATCATTAAAACAAAGGTCTTTTTCCTTTGCCCCAAATCCAAAGATCTAAGGTTAAAAAAGAAGTAAAATCCAATATGATGTTTTTCTCTCTGCTTTCTTTAATACTCAGCATGACTGATTATTTCAAATGGCAATATGAAAATTTTCAAAAGGTATTCAAAATAAAATGGTGAACATGTGATTTTAACTGAAAAGTTTGAGATATATATTTTTAAAATACGGGATGCACCCTTGCTCCAGAGCCTTGCTGATCTTCTGCATCATTTCAATTTCAGTGTTGCTGAAGTGTGAGCACTCTGTCATTTTTATGTCTCTCTCTTACACACATGGTCAAGTGTAACACGCGTTTAAGTATCACGACTTACCAGATAAGGCAGGAAACTTGAAATCTGAGCTTTCTGAGTCCCTGATTTTGCTGGATGGCCTTGGGCAAGCCATTTAACCCCTAAGCTCTGGTTTCCTGATCTTACAGACAGGCGAATCCATTCCTTCCCTAGTCTGATGCCACAGGGACGTGGCTGAAGAAAGGAGATGATGTGCCAACACTTTGAGCTCCTGAGAGATGAGCTCCATTGAATTCAATTAATTTCATTCTCCACTCGTTCTTTAGGGAGACATTCAATGAAAGTCAAGCAGATAATGCTGGCTAATTAGGTGTGTCACACCTACACTGTTTAACTAACGCAGTGAGTCGTTTGAATGTGACACTCCTGCATAGCAGGTGCTTTCACAAGGTTCTATCTGTTTATTAATCATGCTCTTTGATGAACTTATCGAGAAGGTACAGCATTGCAAAATGGGTGTGTCCTGTTTGTAACTCCACCTAAATCTGTGTAAATAGAATTTTCTTAATACAAGTTGACAACTTTTTAAAACTTTGATGATTGGGCGGGGAGAAAGAAGTATCATTTATATTTGGAAAAGAGTGTTTCCTTTAGAAAGTACAGAATTGTTGATTCCGGGAGTATAGTTTATTTTCCGGCTTCAAACGCAGGTCCCAGGCCACGTTAGCATGTCGTCCATGAACCAGCCTTCCCTAGTACAGCCTTCTTAAAACACAAGTCAAGGGAGGCGTGGTGGCTTAAGGAGTGAAAAGACTGTGGGTTTTACAGGCATACACACCCCAGTTTGCATTCTGGCACATTTCCGAACGGAGCCTTACTTTTTAAAAATCTCACAGAGTGAGAAGAATACCCTGCCTGCCCAGGGTCCTGAAGATGAATTCCTCCTCCTCCTCCTCCTTTTTTTTTTTTTTTGGCAAAAAGCATTTCTATTGGGAATTAAAGGCTATAGATACCTTAACCAAATATTTAGAAAATTAGGAAGTGAATTTTAGCTCAGCCTTGGTTTGGGATAGAAGCCAGCCATCCTCTGAGGTGGTAAATGGGGCTGTGTTTCATGTGGTGACTGCTTCTTCCCCTGTTCTCTCCCAGGCCCTCTGCCTGCTTCTCCTCTGCCTTCTGCTAAGTCTCCACTTCTGGCTAATCCCTCACTAACCGAAACCTGCCCTGAGTGAGTTCCCTCCAAATACCAACCGACATTGCTTACAGTAATAAGGACTAACTCTAGCCTTTGTCCCTGATCCATGACAAATACATTTTAGCATGAAATCTACAGGCCTTCAGTGTGGAAGAAAACATTCTGAACCACATACAAAGTTTTTAATTAAAAGTTCTAATTATTCCTATCCTACATAGTAACAGTCCATAGTGGGTAGGGGGAACTTTTTCTCTACACTCTTCTGTTCTGTGTCTGGGGACTGCGAATGAACCTGACAAAAGACAGATTATTAGGAGAAAAAGATGTACAAATTTATGGCTATTTTATTTTCCTCAAATAAAATGTGTGATATTTTATTGAATTTTATTGACTTAGTACTTTTAATTCTACATGCATGGGGGCTCCATGGAAAAGAAGTGAAAATCCAGAGAGGTGGTTATGCCTGGGGGCGTATATGCTGTTCTAACAGAGGGCAACACATTGTGGAGAAGGGACTAGACGGGGGGGGGGAGGCCATTTGCACTCTTAGGGGCAGTAAGTTGTGGGAAAGTGACCGGGAAACGTGTGGTAGGTGAGGATGTTGAGTGAGGTTTGCTATGCAGATCTGTCTCTGTGCCGTCTCTGAGTCTTCCCCTCTTCCCAGCATGAGGGAGTGGGGCACCTTTACAGATGGGACACACTGGGCAGGTGGGAGAGGCACGAAGCCTCCCACGCCTGCTGCTTCTCAGTTGCCTTCAGGTCAAAATACTTATTCTTATGTCAAAGTGGCATATTTTGGTCCCTTTCAAGGACTGTGTAATAGTTGGAAAAACATAGTCTATCTTTATAAGACTATTTAATATAGGCTATAAGACTATTTTTTTAAAGACTTTATTTATTTATTTTTAGAGAGGGAAGGGACGGGGAAAGAGAGACAGAGAGAAACATCAATGTGCGGTTGCTGGGGGTCATGGCCTGCAACCCAGGCATGTACCCTGACTGGGAATCAAACCTGCGACACTTTGGTTCTCATCCTGTGCTCAATCCACTGAGCTATGCCAGCCAGGGCTGTAAGACTACTTTAATAAGACAGTAAAGATATATTCAAATATAGCCATGGCCGAAGGCATGAACAGGCACAGCTATGTAAGTATGTAACCCCCTCAGCTGCTGCTGTGTTGGAAGTCAGCAAGCACACCTCTTTGTACAGCGCCTCTTCTTCTAATCTGCTTTGTTTGCATGATGAACCTGTGATCCTTTTGTGGATTTGCAAAATAGGCAGCTCATCGTACTTCCTCCAGAGCAGGAGGGTGGGCTACGGTCCTTCTGAGGTCGCTAACATGGAATTCTACCTGCATTCCTAACCCCATGCCCATAGTGAATGAGCCAATGATTGATTTGCACTTACAGACTATTAAATATGTTTCCATTTTGGTTTTTCTGTCTGACAGCAGCAGTGTGCAGGGTCAAAGACAGCCGGCCCCCCATGTCAGTGGTCTAGGATGGCCAGTGAAGCCACCAACATCCCAAGTCCTGTGGTGCGCCAGATTGACAAGCAGTTTCTGATTTGCAGTATATGCCTGGAACGGTACAAAAACCCCAAGGTTCTCCCCTGTCTGCACACTTTCTGCGAGAGGTAAGCCTCCTTTGTGCGCGGGGAAGGGAGTTGCGCAGACTGACCTCCTACCAAGGGTTCTCCCCAGAGCTCCAGTTACCGACGGGAGACAAGGAGTCTTTCATGCTTCTGATAGACAGCGAGAAACGTAATCGTGAATTGCCAATAATTTACTTTCTTTCAAGTAATTACAAATGGGGCAAAAAAAAATCTAGTAGCTGTTTATTCATTTCCACAGGAGGTGGAGCATTAAACATTTGAAGATTTAAAATTTAAAAAAAAATTTCCCCCTGTTTTTTGTGGAACAATTTTTGCCAACCATAGTTCCCTCACAAAGGATCTTTGGTGAGGGACAATTAAAAATCTATTGTTTCTTCCCATATAGCAGTCAGGTAAAAATACCTGCATATCCGAGGCATTAGAAGGCGAGAGCTTCCCTTCCAAAGACACCTCGGAAGACACTAATGACACATTGGAACATTATTATATTTCAGATGAAGAAAAACTACACATATAATAACTATAAATGATGTATATAGCAACTTGCTATATATAAAAATATACTTCCTTATTTATTTTTCTTAAATTGTTTTTTCTGCTGAGTCACTCATTTATCAGAATCCACCTTTATCGCCTTGTTCAATTTCTCACATAAGCAGTTAAGCATAAAGATCTTGTTAGTAATTAGTTTATCTGTGGCCTAATGTAAGTATTTCCCTAGTAAGGTTATATATTTTTCTTAAAAAAGAATATGGTAATTATGTTTTATAGTATTTTGTTAAATACATTTGCTATTATTATTTAATATATATAATTAGAATACTTTGCTTTCTCTTAAAGAACAGGAAATTGGTATTTCCAAAGGCTTGAAATCAATGCTAATTACATCTGCCATCCAATTTAACATAGATTTGTTAACTGATCGAGCATGCTTTGAGTTGATTTACTTTGGAAGGTCTCAATTGCAACAGAATAATCACAGTTGGTGGTGATGGATGGAGGGAGAGGTTTATTATTGGTAGTTATGGGTTTTTGTTTGTTTGCTTTGCTTTCTTTGTTGTGAGTTGTTTTGTGGTTGTGTGTGTATATGTGGATATAGGGTTTTTGTTTGTTTTAGTGGTGGTATGTAGAGCACCAATACTTTTTACTTTAGTCATTTTATACTTGGGCTTATGTACTGTGTAATTCATATTCCAGAATAGCTAAATGGAGAGTGATCTTTCCCCCTACCCCCACTTAATAGGTGTGGCTAAAACACGAACACCAGCTAGTTGTCCGTATGTCCCTGGGCTCTTGTGCTGAGAGCATCATTTGATTGGCAGCAGTTGCCATTGTCCAGGGCTCTTTATGTGCAGCATTGAGAACCACTCAGTCTAGCGCGGCGGAGCTGCCCCGTTCCCGGAGTTCAGTGCCCAGTTGGTCTGCTGTCTGGGTCCCATTTCCTTGTTCTGACAGGTGAGAGGCAACACTCTGGCCTGCCCTGAGTCTGCCTCCTGCCCTCTCTCTTCGGTTTAGCCCAATCCATCTGTGTGAGATAGAGGTGCTTTTCATGGAGATGGGAAGAAGACACAGTTTGGGGGACAATCATGGGCTGGGTTGGGGACATGCTGAGTTTTAGAACTAAACCCATGTGACATCTAAGAGGAAATGTGAAGAAGGCAGATGGTGTACAGACTTGGGGCTCAGAGGAGAGACATCTGTGGGAAAAAATGTAAACGTGGCTGTGTTGTGCTTCAGGCAGGCACGTGGATATGATACCCTGGGGAGAGAAGAGTGTGTACAGTGGAGCCTGGATTCACTCCAGACTGTACTGACTCAGTAGGGAAAACAGAGCAGACAGGAGACTCAGCCGAGTGCGGTGTCATAAGCCCCAAGGGAAGATGAGGTTTCAGAGGAAGGGAGGCGGGTGAAGCATAGTGGTCAAGTTTGATGACTGCTACTGAGAAGTCTAATAAGATAGGATTAAACGATGTTTATGGAATTTAGATGTCATTAGATCCTTCTGTGACCTAAGGAAGGTCAATTAACTTCTTGTTGTTGGTTTCCTCATCTGCAAAATAGGTGAAATCATTGGTATTTGAACTCTGTTTTGCCGAGAAACTAGAAAACATTGTGTAATGTAGTTGTTTAGAGTTTAGATTCTGGCACCGAATTGCCTTGGTTCAAATTCCTACTCTCCCCCTGGCCCCCTACATCCTATGGGCAAGTGACTTAGCCTCTCTCTGCCTGCATTTTGTCGTATGTTTAAAGGTGATCGTAAGAGTCCCTACTTCACTGGGTCGTTGGAAGTACTTTGAATTTAGTGGTCAGTATATACAATATGTTGGTCATTATTAGCAATACATTTCATTAGTTAAATGAACTAAGTTGATGCCTGTTGAGGAGAGGCAAGAAGAGATCATGTTAGTGTGACTCGGGGTCCCCTTCCTGCTTCAAACAAAACACTTTCACTTGGGTGTGTTTTTAACAGCAGAGATCTGCTTATGACTTTGTATGTAAAAACGTTTCCAAAAAAGTGTGACGTGTTTCTTCCCTCTGTGAAAGGCCACAAGTTCATGAACACCCGACTAGATATCCCAGACCAATGCATCTCAACCTTAATGTGATTACAAATTGCCTGAGATCTGGTGCATTACTCAGAGTTTGCATTACTGCCAAGCTCCCTGGTGAGGCCAAGGCTGCCTGTCCACAGACCACACGTGTGTGTGTGTGTGTGTGTGTGTGTGAGAGAGAGAGAGAGAGAGAGACAAGGCTCTAGAAAACACTACCAAAGTCAGTGGCATCACTCTTTCCTTCAACAGGGCCAGTGCGAGTATAGGTTATCTCCTGGTTTCTGAAATGTCCTTTTCCTAGTAAAGGAAGATACAAAGGCAGTTTCTGCAAAGTGACCTGGGTAGTTGCTGAGAACATGTGGGGTACCTGTGAGAAGTGGCGGTTCTGTTCCCTGAGCCCCCCTGTGCTGACAGCTTCCCCGGCTTCTGCCTCTGCTACAGGTGCCTGCAGAATTATATTCCCGCCCACAGTTTAACCCTCTCCTGCCCAGTGTGCCGCCAGACCTCCATCCTGCCCGAGAAGGGGGTGGCCGCGCTCCAGAACAACTTCTTCATCACGAACCTGATGGACGTGCTGCAGCGAACGCCAGGCAGCAACGTTGAGGAGTCCTCCATCCTGGAGACAGTCACCGCGGTGGCTGCGGGAAAGCCCCTCTCTTGCCCAAACCATGATGGGAACGTAAGTCACTGCCCAGCAGCACAACTGCTTGATTGGGGTTGGCTTTGGGCACTCACGGGCTCTACGTGTAGACAGGACTCCACCTGGAACAGGAGGAATTACCAGAGATTTTTCCAGCCCTCAGACTGTTTTGCCTGCCTACTTTCTCTGACCCAGTTTATTTAAGTAATAAAGTCCGTCTTCGTTGTGTCTGCTGAGCAAAGATTGTTGGTTTCCCCAGGAGAGCAGGCCTGTCACTCTTTGCACGCTAAGCATACGTTGACCCACATAAATATCTGTGTAATAAATTATGGATAAAGATTTAATAATAGATAAGTTCTGCAAATTGAGGCTGTTTACAAAAATGTGAATTACAGTTCCTTATTTTTCTTGTGAGGAAAATTTTTCTCATGCTCCTTTAGACCCTATTTTTTTTTAGCAATAAATAGAATTGAAGATACGTGAGTCCCTGATAATAGATTGTGAATTTCAAACATATTTTGTGCTACCAGAAAGCACAATACTGTTGCAAACTCAAGGGAACCAGCATGCATCACCAAATAATTGACTCACAATAGCTATGTAACTCGAAGAGGCGGCATTGCGTGGTTGCTAAGAGCACGGGCTTTGGAGCCAGACGGCCTGATTCAGACTCTGCCCTTCAACGTGTCCTCTGTCAGCTTTGGCTATTTGGTCAGGCTCTCTGTGCCTCAGCTCCTCATTTATAAAAAGGAAGTAATTGCAGTATTTGCCATGTAGGATACTTTGGGAGAATTAAATGTTTAAGTCCTATAAAGTATATAGTAAACTCTTGACAAATGTTAGCCATTAAAATGACTTCTAATGAATAACTTTAGTTCCCCTTTTTAATATGATGACCACTTCAGAGGTGTTTGAAACTACTTATAATATAAGGCTCAAGTATAATAAAACCACTTAAGCAACAAGAGATTGTTTGAGCAAAGCAACTACAAGGCATAACTGGTATTTATATACCTTATCGCAGACCACTCTCTCTGCTCACTGCGCTCCAGCCTCATGGCCTAGAACTTGCCAAGTGGTTTCCCACCTCCAGCCTGGCTGGTCTCTGTTCCTTATGCCTGGAGTGCTCTTTGTTCTCTCTCTGTGTGGCTGTAGCTCATTCCTATCCTTCAAGCATCAGCTCAAGTTTCTCCTACACAGAGCAGTCTTCTCTAACTCTGAGATGCCACTGCCATCACCTAGGGGATGCGCATCACATCACTTCCTGGTTTCCTTCACAGCGTTCACCATGCTCTGCATCCTTCATCTGTGTGGTTGCTGACTTATTGATCTGCTGGCTTTCCTTTTGGAAAGGGAGCTCCAGGAGGGCAGGGGCCATGTTCCCATTATACCTCTAGGTCTAAGCACCGTGTCTCATATACACAGACATATGGAAAGCATCGGAGACCAACCAGATGAAAACAAGCACATGCTATGTATTCCAAACTTGTTATAATGAGGCGTCAGTCACTGTCACTTGCGTTTTGGCAGACTTGAAGGAAGGCAAGGAGTGAGCATGCTCAGTAGTAGAGACAAGAAAAGGCTTTAGGTGTGCCCTGATGTGAGGCTATTGACACAAGGAAGCTGGAGGTGGGATAAGTAGAAGGGGACAGCTATGTGATTGGTTAGAGGTACGTATTTGCCTTCCTCTGATTGGTCCTAAGTTGGGGGCAGAGACAAAAATTAGGGAAGCTATCAGTAATCCAGTGCTAGCCATTTCAAACCAGTTGCTACTAAAAATATTGTTTAGCTTTTTGGACTGATACTAGAGATAGTAATCAATTTGACTTCCTACAAATCTGACAGCAGGCTGACTTCCTGGACCGTGTATTATAGATGTGGAGTCGGTTTCCTGGGCAGGTTGTCGGTCAGAGTTCTGTTTTCATACATGGTCTGGCCGCTGTCCATTCGTGGAGTTAGTCTCTCAGAAGTCAGTCAGTACTTGTTAGTACTGATTGAGTGTGCCAGACACTGTGCTTGGTGTCTTACACACCACTTTGCAAAGGAGGCGTTAGTCACCTTCATTTTATAGGTGAAGACACAGACTGGGACAGTTTAAGTCACAAATCTAAGTGACACATCATAATGCTACACCCAGAGGAAAGAGTGCCCTGAGCTTTTTGGGAACCAAAAATAAGGGAGACATCATGGATTACCTATTTTTATTTAAATGAAAGCACATCAGGCTATCAATAACTAGGTCTTCTGCACATCACACTCCAAGGGAGAGTTACCATGTAAGTTTTGTCAAAGGAATTTTAAATGGTGCCTTCAAAAGCAGTTTCAGTATTCTCCTTATGACCATTTCTCACACTGGCACTTAGTAAAAGCTGAGGCTGCCTCCTCCGGAGCTCACGTTCTAAATACTGGTCTGGGAGGGCATTTCCCTCAAGGCCAAGTCATCCAGGCACATAGCTCTCTGGAGCGCAGACTTGGTAGGGGAGTAAAGTTTTAGAGGCATTAGAGGACCTGCTGTAGACCCACCCTAGTCTGCGTTTGGGGTGAAAGGGCCATCATTTAGAATGAGAAATAATAATAACAAAAAGATTACATCAGTAAGTAAAGGCAAGAGTGTTGTGGAATTCAGGGAAGATCTTGTAGCTCAGTGCAGCTAGAGACTGGAGGGGGGGCGGTGGGGCGGGACTGCAGGCGGCTGGAGAGCACTGGGTGAGCCCAGGAAGAAAGATGGGGAGAAACGGTGACAGAGCTGTGAATGTCATTGAGAAAATGTTTGACCTGAATTTCATTAGCCGTGGGGAAGCATTAAAGCCTTTAAACAGGACACGAGTATTTTAGCCACGTTATGGAGGGATGGAGTAGCAGAGACCGGAGGCTGTGGCACCGATTCTGAATTCACTGAGTTGTTCAAAGGAGTAGAACAAGAGTAGCATCAATGGGCATGGAAAAGAAAAGATGACTTTCAGAGAAAAGAATGCTCTTTCAATAGAGAATCTGCCTCCTCAGGATAAAAATGCATATGCTAAAATCTGTTCAACTAAGCTATTAAGACTGTGAGAATTCAAGCAGTTAAAATTGGTCATATACTAAAAATATCACTTATTTTCTGATTGTGTAAACCAAGACCCTGTACCACCACGAACTCACGTGACATTAATGACATGTTACATCAGAAATCCAAATCCTTTAAAAAAACTTACAACTATTTAATCAAAGAAAAAAATGAGAAAATTAGACAACAAAATATTGAAAGTAAAAGCCGTGTCTATTAAATGTATAAGGTAAAGTCAAATCTATACTTGGGAAATTTTATAGGTTTAGGTATTTTCCTTTATTGAAAAAGAGTTCAATTCAGAAAGTTAGGGAAAACAAAGTAAATATATGGGACAAAAGAAAAAATATTAAACTTACACAATTTAAAAATAATGACAATTGGGTAGAATAAATCTAAAAGCTGAATGTTTTAAACAAATTAATTCAATAATTTGACATCTGATAAAACAGTAAAAGAAAAATATAAATAAATCAGGACTAACAAAGAGATATCAGTACAGATAAAAAGATTTTAAAAGGAGTAAATCCATGCTACGTGCTAAAGGTTTATAGATTGAAAGTCTTGAATGAAGTGGATGATCAAGAAAATGTGAGTAGACTGATAATCTCAAAATAAAGTGGCAAAAGTTAACTTAAAATCCTTCAAACCTGTATAAAACAGATATGATTCACAGTGTATACTTCTGGGTCATAAGATAGAAAACTGCCCAATTCACCGAAGATATACTCATAACCCTGACACCAAAATCTAGTAAGGCAAAACAAGAAAAAAAGTATTAATCAGTTTATCAAAGTAGCTGTACAATTCTTAATTAAAATACACCATCAAATTTTTACAGTATAAGAACACTTAAAAATTCAGAAAAATATGAACATTACAAACGAAAATGGGCAAAGAACTCAGTAGATTCACAGGGGATATGTAAAATGGTAAAAACACTGAGCTTCACAAATAGGCAAATCTTCTCCAGTTAGCCACAAGTTTTTAAAAAGGTAACAGCCACGCTGGTGAGGGCAAGGTGAGATATTCCCCCATCCTGTGGGCTGGAGGGTAAGTTGTTCCTGGGAAAGTTTGTATCAGTTTGACAAGATACAGTGGCAGTTTTACACAATTTCTTATCCTTCACTCCAGGAATTCCACAAATAGGAAAGTTCCGAGGAAATAGCTAGACATGACAATGAAGATTTGAGATAAGAATGTTATTTAAACATTTTATATTGCAGTAGAAATTGGAAATAATCTAAATGTGCAATTTTAGGGAAATGGTTAATTATGGTAAGTCCATATAACTGATTGTTGAGAGGTCATTAAAACTGGTGTTTTGGTAACAGATGACCTTGGTGCCAGTACATGAGTGTGCTTGTATGTTTTCTGATCAGTAGGACCGCAGCACACATGTAGTACAGACAGGGGAGGTGCTCTGGGCAAAGAGACAAAGTATGGTGGGGAGGGGAATGGAGACATGAAGAGCCTGTTGCTCTCTCCATGATCTCAGGGCTGCAGGAACCAGGAAGTGCTGGGTGACTGGCGAGAGGGCGAGAGAGGTAAAAGGTCTGGGAGGGCCCTGGATGCCCCTTTAGGGAACTTGGGTGTGTCCGAAGTCATGGGGAGCTATTAAATGATGTTAGGCATTGAAAGGCCCAGGTAAGGTTTGCATTCAGCTCATTTCAAAGTTGCTAGAGATGTGATGGGGGAGAGGAGAGTAGAGTTGAGGGAATGCGCCAGGGGCTGGGGGCGGGGAACACCTGCGAGCCTACGGGGCTAATCCCCGAGGGGGCCTGACCCAGAGCGAGGGGGCCTGACCCAGAGCGGCCAGAGCAAGATGGGAGAAGTGGGCCGGGTAAGAGGTGATCGTCTGGGAGGGCTGGTGGGGTCAGCCCACCTCCCAGGTGTCCAGCTCCGTGCCTATGTGAACACCAGTGCAGCCCACTGAAACAGAGGTTGACTCTTTAAAGTTACTACGAAGTTTTATAAAATGGTACTGTCG